CTGCGCGATTTTTTGGTGAAATTAGTGTCATGCAACTAATTTCATAGTGTAGACGCGACGTGAAACTAATGTCGCGAAAGGGCCTGCGCTGTGCGGACGTGTGTATTGTTAGGTCGGACGCGCTTCAAGCGTTGAAAATGGCAAACCAACGATGGAGTACAGAAAAAAATATAGATCTTATTAATGAATATCAATGACAAGGGTCCCGAAACACCTACAGTAAAAAATCAAAATTATCTTCACTCATTCGAAAATAGTTTTTATAACTCTCAGGATCTTCATCTGCTAATTCAGAGACTAACTTCATTGCACCTAAATGCCTTCTTGTTGACCATCCTTGAATCTACCATCTTTTTTTTCTTGATAGTCTTTTTTTAAGTTTATGGGTAAGGCCGTTAGATTGGACTCATGTAACATAAAAGCTTAAGTTACCAGATAACTTAAAAGTTGTTGATGTGTTTGAATGTATAATTTATAATTTTATCATTTTATTAAAGCTTTGTTCTACAATTCCAAATGTGTTCTAAGCTTTACATCACTTTTATGCTACGTAACTAAAAATTAACAACAATAGTAACATAAAAGTAACTTAAACCTACCCTCTTTTCAAAAGATGCTCGAACCTAGGGCACTATGATGAATAATTAACAACGTTTATAGCTTAGAGCTCTTATTTAAACATTAAACTTACTAAATTATCCTTCGATTTAAGCAAAACGATACAAACTTACCTTAAAATCAGTAAAAACTTTTTTTCTGTCGGACAAAAACACGATGCGGACCAAACTAACTCACGTATCATCTCACTAATGGCCGATAAGTACGTGACATACCATAAGTAAGTTAGATATTGGCGTGGCCAATTATAAAACATATTTTTACTGCTCAATTCTTAAATTATTGTAAAAATTTTGGTAACTTAAAATCAGTAGCATAAAAGCTTAAAATACTAGGACGTGATGTTAAAATTCGAAAATAATTGATATTTCAATAGCTAGATTTTTGTGAAGGAATTAAATATTGCCTAACATAAAAGATCCTTTAAAAAAAATTTTTTTATTGCCGGTGGAATAAACTGAAACTTATATAATTAATTCCAACTATGATGGGGGATCATTTGGGACACTTGAAATTGTTCTAGCAATTCGTATTATCGTAGTAAAAACTACATAATTAAATACAAAGAAGTAGTTTTACAGATGTTTGCGTATTTGTAACAGTTGTAGAAAGGATGCCTTTTGCCAGGAAAACAATAAAACATGATAGTATTATTGTATTTATTCTAAAAAAGATGCCGGACGCGGAGTCATCCATCAAAATGGTTACTTTTTGGCGGCCTTACCCTTATAGGTATATAAGCATTTCTTTAGTTACATTGAATATAGGAAATTATAGCTTTGATGCTGATGGCGCCATGGTTACTGCGATACTGTGGATTTCGCGACACTAATTTTTTAACGAAATTACTTTCGCATATATCGAAACTACTTTCGTGAAACCGAGTTCAACATGCATGACACTAATTTCGTAATGTAAACTCCGCATAACATTTAACGCAAAACCGTCGCACGGCCGGCAATCGCTATCCTCGTCTGACAAATGATGTTATAGTAATCGGCAAACTTCTTGAGCAAATGACCTTGACTGCGCAGAACCGAATTTTAGATCACTTTGGTGGTGAGGGTGAGGCGCGACGGCAGGGGAAATCGTATCGAGCGCGTTATTGGTAGATCAGTCGAACCTTGCGTCCCGCACCGCGCCCTCATTCCGCTTGCTCCCAAAAGTACACTTGCGTACAGTGGAAAGTCTATCGTTATTAATCGTTAAGTTATTTGTTATAATTGCTTGTGGACTTTGTTGCCATTGCTATTTGTTGAGTGTTTGTTGATTTTTTATAAAACATACACTATGCCGTGACAAACTGGTGTAGTACTTAAAAGAAAGGGTAGAAAATTTGTGTACGACGTATATTGCTTCATTATAAAACAGGGGAAGAATGATATGGAAAAATTAAAACAGACTTCGGAAGCAACAAAAACATCAGTGAGTACTGTTAGGTGCATTATTAACGAAGCTAAAGGCTCTGGCTTGCTCGCCGTGTTTCGGACTCCGGGTAAGAAAAGATCAGGGAAGAAGAAAGTTACCGGAATGGATAGTTTCGTTCAATCTGTAATAAAAAGATGTAATCATAATAACTACATAACAAGCAGCGAAACTCCGTACCGTAGAAAGGCTTCGAAAAATTTAAAGAAGATATAAATTTTAATGGCTCGGAATGAAGCTTACGACGAATTATGAAAGAGCTAGGCTTCAGATGGAAAAAAAGAACAGAAAATAATCGGAAGCTGGTAAATGAAAAAAGTAACATTCGATTACTACGAATCGAATATCTTCAAAAAATAATTAATTATAGACAAAAAAGAAGACCGAATCGACCGAGTTGTAAACTACGCCGATGAGCCCTATGTCGACTCATCACGATGATAGCGACTCGGGTGATGAAAACAGTGATGATGATGATGGTCAAGATTATGATAACGAAAAAAATATATGCAAATACCAGCTTCGCTTCAACTGAACCAAGACCTGGCAACAGCTCTAGTTTTGACTTAATAGAAGGAATATCTATTTTATCGCAAGATTAAATTATTACAATTATTAACCTATATGTTTTGTTGATGTTCTAATAAATATATAAATAAATACATATGTTGATTTTAATAAATAGCATTATGACGCAGAGTAAGTAATGTTTTTGCACGTGAGTGTACCATGCGCAAACTTACCCCCACTACGTCAACAAATGCTCAAGAAGTTTGCCGGTTATTATACGCGTTAACTCTCTTTCACTTTACCTTAAATATTTATCATCTTTAACAGCCAGCAACCCTTATTTGCGGCTAGATTTAATTAGGTAACCATATATGATAATTAATAGAAAAAAATTAGCTTCAATTTGATATATAATTAATAAATATACGTTATGAACGTATAAATGTAACGAAATCATACCTTGCAATGGCAACCGTGATTTTCTTAAATTATTATGTAAATTGCCGTGATGTAGACGATATTTTATTTAAAAAACAAGTGAACGAATTTTTTCCCCAAAAAGCAATTAAAAATACTAGCGGCCAAATTTTGATAGGCAACTTGGTAGATATATATTCTCCTAATTATAAATATACATAAAAATTTGGTTTTTAGCAAATAACCAATGAGCGCACTAATCCTGCAGTCTGATCTCGTACTATTAAGGATTATAGGTGAAGTTATTCATCATAATAAAGTCAATCACTCATTTATTCTAATAATACTCAAAATCCAAAAAAATCAGTCTCGAAAGAGTCCATATTTTTTTATTGCTTAGATGGGTGGCCGAGCTCACAGCCCACCTGGTGTTAAGTGGTTACTGGAGCCCATAGACATGTACAACGTAAATACGCCACCCAACTTAGATATAAGTTCTAAAGTCTCAAGTATAGTGTCAATGCCTGCCCCACCCTTCAAACCGAAACGCATTACTGCTTCACGGTAGAAATAGGCAGGGCGGTAGTACCTACCCGCGCGGACTGAAAAGAGGTCCTACCACCAGTAATTGCGCAAATTATAATTTTGCGGGTTTGATTTTTATTACACGATGTTGTTATTCCTTCACTGTGGAAGTCAATCGTGAACATTTGTTGAGTACGTATTTCATTACAAAAATTGGTACCCGCCTGAGATTAAACACCGGTGCATCGCTAGATAAGAATGCACCGGACATCCTTTAGGCAACGACGACTTAAATCGTTGTAATAGTTTAATCAAGGTAAATAAAACATTGCATAAAATGTATTTTTTTTATTCATTCACTTTTTAGGCTTCACTTCTTTAGCGGTTGGTGCTTTTGTAACATCATCCGGATTCTCAGCAGCATCCTTCAATCTCTTAGCCCGGATACCGACGAGTTTGGCAATGGAGCGAGCCTGTTTAATAATATTAGTTTATTAATGTGATATTTAAATCATTTACAATTCATGTGATTCACAAAGATGTCTCAGTTGATACTTGCAGAGTCCTAAAAAGAATGGGTTACGGATTTTACACCTATTTTTACGCTAAGGAGAAACCACTGTTAAATGCTGTACAAAAGAAAAAGAGGTTGAAGTTTGCTCGTGATCATTTAAATTGGACTTCAGATCAGTGCCGTCGTATCATTTGGAGTGACGGGTCCAAAATTTGATGCGACAGTCGGCGATGAAAGGAAAAAATTGACTGAACAAAAATAAGGCATCTCATACTGATTGTCTCAAGCGCAAAGTGAAGTTTCCGTGTGTCTCTTATGATATGGGGCTGCATGTCTGCACAAGGTATTGGTGGTATACTGTTTGTGGATGGTTCTATCAATTCTATGAGGTATCAAAACCATATATAAAAAATCCATCAAGATCGAAGAGCGACTTAAAGGCTAAACTCTTGGCTGTCTGGTAGTCAATTACACCTCAGGAGTGTGAAGTGTTGGTTGCAACCATGCTTCTTCGCATTAAAGCTGTCATTGAGAGCAAAGGCGAGAGAACTAAGTGGTAGACGAACTATTTTGTGTGAGTGACAAGGGTTGACGAATACTTTTGCGTTATGTTTTTTAGATTTTTTTTTCTTTTTTATGTTAGGCAAAGCCATGAAAGACTTTCAGTTAAGATAAACTTTAAAATGTTCCTCAAATTGTGGTTTACTTTTTATTAAAAGTTCTGTATTATTTTACCAATATTTACTTTCTATATTTTACTCTTTGTACTACTTTCCATATTAGACAAACTATTTTGCATCGGGGCTTGTATTGTGTGTACATAATACATAATGTAATTTTCTAAATAATATTAAACAATTTTAAGTTATGTATAAGAGGGTTTCAGGAAATTATTCTTTTCATGTTAAAGTGGAACTGTGTTGTAAAATACCATGTTATAGGAGGGCTACTTGTATTTTCTACATATTTTGACAAAAAAGCTATGAGATAAATTATTGTACTATTTTATGAGCAGTAAAAGATATTTATCAATGTCAACTATCTCAATATCACTGCCTGCATTTACGTTGTGATGTCTAGAAGATGTAAGAGGGAAAGTATGTTTAGCGCTCAACACCAATTAAGAATGAGCTTGTTACAGTTAAATTAAAATCCAATCCTGTTTATGTCAAACACAAAATTATATAAATACCCTGGATCTTTGAGAAATATTTGTGGTATTTGAAGTCTGAGTTTACTGTTCGGCTGTGTTGGAATTTTCTTACTTCTTGTTATGGATACCGGCAGTATCAATAACATGAAAATTGCAACTATTTAATATAAAAACATGTGGATGCAGGTTTGCAGTTTATAGCGAGAGAACCTTCATATTGAGACATACATCTATGAAGAATGTAAATACTTTCATCATATAGAGTTATTAATGAGACAAGAGATGTCTAAAGTTTTCAAGTTCTAAATAATAAAAAAAAACATTTGTTATTATCATAATCCCTTAGCCCTTTTTACTTATGTATGTTAAGGACTTATGAATTTTTAATTTGGTTGTTAATGATGACATAATACATTACATTACTTGCTGAAAACTACTTACTCCTCTCAGGTATTGATAAGCTTTGAAGTTCTTTTCATCTTCAGTGATAGGTCTTGCAACTGATTTAGGAGCAGGCTGTTGAACTGGCATTAATGGACCACGTAGCTGTGTAGCCAGCTTACGTTCTTCTTCATTGGCCTCACCCTTCAGCACCTTTGAATTCATGAAACAGGCTGTCATTAATTGGTAACCTTTTGCATATTTATTGTACCATAATTTTCAGTGAGGTTATGTCTATATAATAGATCTGTGTAGTGCTGTTCTGTGTGGAGTGCAGTTTCAAACATTCACTTTTGTGATTCTCATAGTTGCTAGCTATGAGTTTTCACTGTTAAGGCATTTTAAAGTTGTAAGAGCTAAGACCTAAAGATTTTTTGTTTTTTTGTCATAAATTATGAGACTTGGCTGAGGAACAACTAATTAATTTTTCTATAAACTATTTATCTATCTATTGTTCAGCTCACAGAAGTCCACTGCTGGACATAGGCCTCACCACAATGATTGGTCCTACGCTGCTAGCATCCAGCACATACCTACAAATTTTAATAGGTTGTCTGTCCACCTTGTGGGAGGCCTACTATGTCTTCCAGTATGCAGTCACCAATCGAGAAATTTGCGGCCTATTTATATAAGCTTAATAGCAAGCTTATCTTTTATTTCTAGTATTCATTGAATGTATGTCACTTCATTACAATGACATGCATGCTGACTGTCGTAAAATTCTCAACTAAAGCAAGATACCAAGCCAAGGACCCTTCCTTGGAGGAAACGATTAAGGAAATTCAAAAAGTTATGAAAATCATAGTGAAAATAACATACTTTGAAGAGAAGGGTAGACCAAAGATTATTTATATAAAATGGAAACCATTCTTTAATTAGTTGTAAAACCACTCAGTTCAGAGCCAACAATGTTTGTACTATCAGAAAATTTATATCATCATTTTCTTCCAGTTTGGCTGCCACAGAAAAGTTAAGGATCAAAAGTATCTCCTTGCAAGTAAATGGTTTTTATTTCAAAAATATTCCTTTAACATAGTTAAATAATAACATGGGAAACTGATTCTTTTATCATTATTACAGGGAAGATACAGCAACTTACACAGGTGCAGTTATTGTTTTTCCATAAGATATTGTTAAATTTTGTTTCATTCTGTGCCTAGATCTGTTTACTTTTTATATAAGACTAGTTAAAGTTATAGTTGTGTTAAACGTTACTAATAAACAAGTAGTGTTTATTAAATTGTACCTACCTTTTTGCCTTTCGGGAACAGTATAAGACGCGCTCTGTATTCCTTTATTCTTTGAACATTGATTTGCAATGATTCAACAGACTTGTTGCGTCTACGGGGATCTACAGCAATTCCAATCGTTCGGGCAAATACTGGGTTCAATCCTGCGGCCTATAAAACACAAGGACTATGAAATATGATTACCGATGGGCATATTTAGACTTTTGACAAGGTGCAATAGCCATGTTTTACCCTAATTTCACGAAGAGTGAATCCTCTACCGGCGCGTACTTTAGTATGGTACCGAACAGTTGGGCATCGCACTATAGGACGTAACGGCCCAGCTGCAGGACGTGGAGCTACGGCCTTAGCTTTCTTTATTCTATTTTGCTTTCTGCGGTATCGTCGAGCTGGCTGGTTAAACCAAGTTTTAACAAATCTTTGCCAATCCTTGTGGAAATGTCCATTAGGTATCATATTATTCCCCTTGCCCATTTTGACGTCGGAGTTTTACCTAAAACAACACAAAAATAGAAATAGATGTTCTCACTACACCGTGCACTTTATTCCTAAAAAACAATAGCTTGTTATTTCAATAATTGATGGCTAAGAATTTTAAAGATTATCTCATCACTAACCACGGCAAAGAAAATAACGTAAAAGAACTCATTGAAGTACACAAACAGTGTTACCAGCTGTTCAGAAACAATTTTGCTAAATTTACTGCATAAAACATAAAAAAATGTAATGTAATTATTTTTATTATTATTAATTTTATTATTATTTATTATGTAAATAGGGAACAATGATTTTTTTTTTAAACTTCATTCAAAATAAAACCTTAAAATAATACCACTTCTTTAATTTTTTAAAGAAGAAAACGCTCTTGTATGCCTCAAGCAATGGTGTTAGTGGTATTAGTGGTAGTGTTATGATCTTTTTACAGTTGTTCGATGTATCGAAATCATTGATTTTACTCTCGTCACAGCGATTCAATTCGATGAATTCAAATAGTTGTAATACAAAAAAAAATTGTAAATTATATATCTATCTTTAATTGTCATTGCATGACATACTTAAGCAAAGCAGGAATTAAATAATCTTTTAATCTTTTAATTAGATTAGAATTGCAACACTGCCCTTTTAACAGTCCCTGCACTCTTATAACAGTGCTTTATGTTGACATGGGTGTTTCTAAGTATCAGCCTCAACCAAATACTAACTTTAATTTTGTAATAGACCAAGATTGGAATGACTATAACTATTGTATTGGTATAGGAATCTATCATTCGCAATCAAAAATAGTTAAAAAGATAAAATTATCATCTGAAACATCAGTGTTCACTGGTGAATGTTTTGGAATATATTATTATAAGGCCATAGAATACATTTTGATATTTAAATGAAAAGAAACCATAATACTAACCGATTCAAAGAGTGCTTTACAGGATCTAGCAAAATTTCCTTTTAAATATCAACTAATTTATCTTATTCTCTTAGACTGCAGAAACCTGTTTATTAAATGTATGGATAAAAACCTTCGGACGATCGGAGTGCTGGATAGCAGTAAGTGTGAATGCGGCACGGACATTGGCGAACTAAATCACATTATTCTATCATGTCCTCTTTTTGATCATTCACTTCTATTTATTTCTTTATCATCACTTATTATTCCTTTCCCTATATGTATACTTTATTTATTACATACAGTAGACCCAGTTATTTAGAAAATTATCTTTTATCTTTATCTTATCTTATTCCTCAACAGTATTAACCTAAAATAATAATTATATATATTATTTTTTTCCTAAAATCCTAATCCAACTTTCCTGCGTAACCTTTATATAACTTTATTTTCTGATTTGCTTTTTGCTTCCTAACCATTATTTTGAAAGTGGCAACAACACTTGGTTTGGGTCCAAAAAGAAAAAAAAACAGTGCTTTGGATTTTCGAATTTAAAAATATCAGACATTCCAAGTTAGCCCTTTGATGAATTAAAAACAATTTTAAAACATGTATAATTTTTTAGCTTTTATAGTCTCTCTTCTCTCTAAGCTGATAAAGACGGTTTTTTTTCCTACCTATGTTGATAGCCTCGAGAGGCTATTTCTAACTAGTGTTGCTAACAATGACCCTAGCAAGAGCAGTGCTTCGCAGAATCTACCACCGGATCGGAAACGCGACCCACTGAGAAGATCCGGCGAGAAACTCAGTGGGCTTAAAGACGGCGTTGACCAGAACTTGTTTTATCTAGCTCTCTGTATTTGGCCGTAGCCATAGAGTTACTAAGGTACATACATAGAGTTACTGTAGGTACTTATTAACTCCATGGGTACATAATAACTTCATGGCCGTAGCTATAGAATTAGTAAAGTACTTAATAACTCCGTGGTCGTAGCTAATATGTTAATCTGTGATTTGGCCTCAGAAAACCGAATAGGTTATTCTCATGGAGTTAAAAAACATGTGTGCAATTCACACGTGGTAGAAGTGAAACCTTCCAAAATTACAATACAATTATCCTAAACGTCTTAATGAATTTGGCCCCCTTTTTTATTTTTATTATTTGTTCGTCGTTTGTTCGTTAATGTTCAAATGTAAAAATAGTTTGTTCCTCTTTTATTTATTTAAATCAATTAAGCAAATGATCACCCTTAAATGGGCCCTCTTTACTAGATATCTTTATTTTTGTCGCTCAGATTAATTAATTATGATCAATTATCGTTTGTTCGATAACTATTGGTGATTGTTCGATCATAAAAACAATGAAATTCCCAATTTGTATGAAAAATTATTACATAATTAAAAATTTTGTTTTTTTTGTTAATGCACAATTTGTTGTTTAGTGATCGCTGCATGTTTCAGTATATTAAAAAGCTCCGTTGTAGATCAAAATTACAAGATTCATTGTGAAAAGCGACGTTATCATGAGAAGGTGGCAACAATTTTTTTCCTAGCTATAATGGTAACCTTTAAGAATTGTGCCGGCAACCGAGTGAATAGGTGAGCTCATGAGACTAACCTGACGACATCGCTAATAACATAGCATTGCGGAAGAGCATTGCCTTATAGAATCTACCACCGAATCTGAAATGCGACCCTCTGAGAAGATCCGGCGAGAAACTCACTGGTTTGTGTCTGAGCGTTTGGGGATACTCTTCACTGAAATACTTATTAAAACTTAATCTAATTATTACGACACTTTAAGTAGACTTCAGATGGACTTTTAGAACAATAAAAAATACTACTCTTTACAATAGGTACTGAACATCTATACTAATGTTACAAAGCTGAAGAGTTTGTTTGTTTGAACGCGCTAATCTCAGGAACTACTGATCCGATTTTAAAAATTCTTTCAGATTTAGATAGACCATTTATTGAGGAAGGTTATAGGCTACATAACATCACGCCAAGATAAGAGCACCAATAAATTTTGAGAGCTTCCGATGTGTGCGCTGCACAAAAGGTTAAAGTTTCGCTAAAATAATGTATGACAGTGTTGTACCCCTTTGAAAAGTCCGGGACAGCGTATGTCTATATGTTAAGGTCTATAACGTTTTTTATGCCAACCAAATTTGTTCTAAATTAAAGCATTATTTGTGAAGGTGTTTTTATAAAGATGCCTATCAAAATAAATACATTATTCATTACAATTATTTAATTTTAAAGAAATTTACCCACACATGATTTAAATGAGTATCTCGCTTTGAGTATTTTAATGAGTATGAGAAGATATCGCAGTTTTAAAATACCATCGCAGCAAAATAATGATCAAGCGCGTAATATTGATACACAAGGCATCAGCCGGCCGGTGCGCGGTGGCACCGAATAAGAACAATAACAAGAAACACCCAAATCACTTCAAGACAGGCCTTGAAAGTTATAGATTTTTGTGGATTTCTCCAGGATCACATCATCAGGTCTTGATAATTACAGGACAATTCGGGAAGTCTACTCTTTCGAACAAAAACTAGAAAAGATAATTAACAGAATCGGTTCAAGCATTCTCGAGAAATCGGCGAACATACATAGATAAAAAATGGTGGTCGAATCGATAGCCTCCACTTTTGAAGACGGCTTAAAAGCGTGATTTTGGTACCTAAAATACCTCCTTAACATTCTATTATTCAAAAATATTTTCACTTTCTACATAAATGAAGTCGCGGGTAAAATTTAGCGTTATGCCAAAGTAACTATTCCACGCGGACGAAGTCGCGGGCAAAAGCTAGTCACAAAATATGATATTGAATCCCTAATTTTAGTTTAAATAGTCCTCAGTTTATAAATATAATGTTAAGTTAATCGACTAAAGAATCGATGCTTACCTAAATAGAAGAATTCAATTTATTTCATTGGATTTAATTTTGTATGCGGTTTCAACTGTCGCGATGAACCATGTCAGCCGGAGAATATTAAGAGAGCTAAAGTGCATTACAAGCCGCTAGATATGATGAAAAGGGAGAAGGATCACACTAGCCAAGCGTTGTTATTTATTTAAATCTAGCAACACTACGCCATCTTGAAATTTGAATAATTCGCATTTCGCACGAACGTCACATCACTTTTTCCTTTGGTGAGCAAGGTGTGTTCACGTGAGGTTGTGTTTCCTCGTGTGGGTCACACAATCCTCAGGATTTCGTGAAAATATTCTTGTAAAACAAAAAAAAAAACATAAAATTTAAAAAAACCCAAAAAAATAGCAAAATAACAAAAACGAAAAGGGAATCATTTGATTTTAAGATAGTGGACATAAGCGTGCAACGTGGTCATTGGAATGCGATAGTCATATAAAGAGAAAGTGAAGTTTTGCATTTGCAGTCTGTTAATGTTCCTGTGAAATTGTATTAAATAGCATCAAAATGAATCCTGGTCCACCAAGTTATCCGATGGCATCTCTGTATGTTGGAGATTTACACTCTGATATAACCGAGGCCATGTTGTTTGAAAAATTTTCGACTGCTGGGCCCGTCCTATCTATACGTGTTTGTCGCGATATGATTACCCGTAGATCCTTAGGCTACGCTTATGTTAATTTTCAGCAACCTACGGATGGTAAGTTCATAAATTTGTTAAATAGTATTCATATGTGCCTTCAATTGTCTTTATCAAATAAGCGTGGTGTTTTTCTAACCAATATACAAATCTAAAAATTATTTTTGTTTAAATAGTAGTTGCTCTGAGTAGGTAATGTACTGCATAAAATTAGTTTTATTTCAACTTGAAACAAACTTTGTTCATTATCCGTTATAGTTTTCAATTTAATCACGCACATTACAGGTGCCCCAGTTGCCTAATGCTGTTGTGTGGTTTTGCAATCTGTTTCTAGTGTAATTGCTATTAAATTACAGCGGTAATCATTTTTGTCGTAACTAAACTTCCTCAGTGTTTCTTATGCATTTTTACCTTCTAGTAAGATTTCGTTATTAGATCATATTACAGAAATTAGCAAGTATACTGCTTGATTTTACTGGTCTCAAAATATATGACTTCCAGGAGGCACAAAACTTTCAATTGACAAGATAAGTTCCAAAAAGTTTTAAAGTTGCTATATTATAATGAAACCCTGTATAGGCTTCCTAAGGAAATCTTAGAAACTTCTTGCAGTCACTTTTAAATTATCCATCCACCTAACAATTCTAATTTATCTTTAAAAACCTTAAATAAAGTCTGGTTTATGTTTAAGGTATATTTTAATATTCATTTTCTTATGAGTGTAAATAG